GCCCTGAAAGATTTGGTCGATACGATAAGCTGCTTAACAGCTGGCTATGCTGACTAGCTCTGGGGCTTATCAATCGAATTGCCAGAAATCATTTAGATAAGTACACAATTGTGAGCTAGTTTTGGGAAAACTTGTTCAAATATTTTGATTGTTGCTGTTTCCATGAAAACGTCGAATATGAAAATTATGTAAATTCACATTTTGGTCAAATGAAGTGGATGGAAACAAAACCCACACACACACACACACACACACACACACACACACACAACAAGCGCAATCAAGGTAGTAGGCCAATGCTCAAAGCGTATAATTAACACAAGCAAAAGGCTGCTGCAAATTATAATTAAATGTGCATACTAATATAATACATGTGCATTTATTATTGTATATGTGTACCCATACTTCTGCCATGTTCTTTGATAAAACCGCTTTTGGCATTCGACCTATAAATATGTGTGCAAAGAACGAGCCAAGCGTGCGACTTGAAAACCCACAAAATAAAAAAATGTGCCGCTTTTTGTTGTTTACCTGCAATAAAAATATAAATAAAACAAAAAAAAAAGCTTAGCGAAACGCAGAAACAAAGTTGCCAAAAATAGAGAGGGTAAGCATGAGACACAGCACATTGCCGATAAAACGAAGCCAATAAAATGGAAAACAAAATAAAATCTGAGAGATCCAACGAATACAATATACTCTCGATTGGAGACGTAAATAAACATCAACAAACTGTGGATGTATGTAACTTAACAGTAAATAGTTGAGCTGTTAACATAAAATATGTTAGCAACAGAAAATGTTATTGCGCAGCTGCTCAAAATGTTAAAATTGTATATGTTCAAAATGTATTGTAAAAATAAACTGAAATGCTTGTTGACTAAAAATCAAATTGATTTAACGTCTCGCATTACTTGAAGGCAATTGATCGAGTTATATTCTGATAAAAGAAAATATACAATTTTATAAAGAGTTCATAACATCGCTGGGAAAGGGTATTTTATAAAAATAATATAAAATACAGTCTCGATAACCGGTCGTATTAGGGAAACGGCGACTGCAAAATTGTCGATAGCGGCATATCATATGTCAATAGAACATATATTTTTGTATTCGCGTGTGTGGAGCAAGAGGCGGGGCCGCGACAAGGGAAAGCCCCATCGGGGGGTCTAAGTGCAGCACAGCGCAGTAGCATTGAACAAATAAGAGGGGAATATATTTATAAAGCGATACGTTCATAAAGTATAAGTTACGCATACGTAACCATTGCCCAGGCAACCGAATAAAGTCTTTAACATAACAAAATGTTGCCTTTAATAAGTTCAAAACGTGTCTACGTTCTGTTTTTTATTTTCATGCAAGGCAACGAATAAATAAATTTGATTAAATTTCTCAAAAACAGAGAAACTTGAATCTTCAGTCTGGCCAAAAGTTTAGCATATGACGTAGGTATTTTAAATCAGTTCCAGAGAATAACAGTTCCTCTCATGTATGTAAATTATAAAATTCCTCTAGCCGAGACGACAATGACTAAATATCAGCAATAACATTTAAATCGATATTACTTAAGCAGTGCAATAATCAAAACAAATTTATATATTTTCTAGTTCAAAGAAGTTTGTTATGTATATATTTATATATAATATTTTGCGGCCTTGGCCGTGCCGAAAGTTTTTCTACAAATATTTCGCTCACTTTTCGCTGGAAAAACGTGTTTATTGATTTTGTAACATAATTTTAAAGCAAATCTCATGCAAAAACAGAATTTTCCAAACTTTATTCCATATTTGCCGGAAAGAACTCATATTTAGTTTCTATATAATAATCAAGTAAATATATTTTGGAATATAGAATATTTTTGTACTATGCACCAACAACTAGATAACCAAAACTTTATAATACGCACTTTTATGGCTCATTTCCATGAAATTGATAAGGAAATAAACCGAGTTCGCTTAGCCATTAAATTTATCAAATTATTTGCACAAGGTGCTGACATCTCATCAGAATACGTACTTTAAATTGAGATCTTCCTTTTCATGATAATGGAAAAGTTTTTAGACGCGTTTATAAACGCGATAAGATCACAACAAATTTGTCGCTCATGACCTGACGCCAACACGTATGCTTGTTGATAATGCAGATTTGAATATTGATAAGACTCACATGTGCTCGAAAAGCGCAAGTAACTATTAAAACAAAAATAATACCCTGTACTCATTAGAAATAAATAGTAAAGTATGCTACCTGGTCAGCAGCAACTGTTGCGAAAATCTAGACAGATATCTTCTACTATAAGGATTAGATTGGAATATAGTGTCCCATTGCACACGCAGATTAAGATTATTTTAAGCTATTGATAACTTCAAGATCGATAAACATCGAACTCTAGCCTCGGGATTTTAGCAGATCTCGCAGATCACAAACAAAGACGCCCAATTTTCAAATCAGAAAAACGAATTATGCTCAGTTTATATGTATTATATTTAAATGCCATGGCAATGCTGGCTCAGTGCAGGATATCTCCAAGTCGAGCAGCGTTGCCACATTGCAGCCTTATGTGTTAACAAAATAGTTTCTTTAACTTGCCGTAAGCAAGCGCTGGCAACTCCCGACTCTTGCTTAAAATTCACTTAAAGCTCTTCACAAAATAAAAGAGTTTTCATTCTCTCTGCTTCTTTTTAATTTTCAAATGCCGCGTGCTATAAACAACCTTGAACAATTTTGCATCACAAGAAAACTGGCGCAACAATGCAACCTTGAAATGCATGGGCAAAGAAAGTTGCTTTTGTTACAGTGAAAACTGCGAAACTGGTTTAGCGACTTTTGATTTATATGCTCGTCAGACAATTGACGTATGTGGAAAACCCAGCGAGCAATTTGAATAGCATTCAATTAAAACTGCTGACCACATCGCCAACTATCAATGCACACACTCAACCATGTGTACTTGTATCTGTATCTGTATCTGTAGCTGCAGCTGCAGCTGTATCTATTTGTAGGCAGCAAACAAAAATTCAAATTGTTAAAAGCAACAAACATGAAGCAAACAGCGATGCCTCAATTGCATTTTTAGATTATGAATAATGCTGTGCGAAAACCTATGAGAGCTAGCTGCACTGCAGCTGATAACAGGGCTAGCCACACAGATACCGCGCACAAATGCAGGCGCTACGTAATAAAAAATGTGAAGCATGGGTAAAATTCAGCTGGCGTGGAACTTACAAAGGGTATATTAATATAAAGGGAACGAGCTCTGGAATTGAAGCAATAATATACTTGATTGTTAAACAGAATAAACCGCACTTGTCCGCAAAAGAGAGCTTTCACTGTACATAAAATTGTTTTGCTTTACTTATAATATAATTTTCACTGTCTCCCGAGAGCACATAGTTCATTATTGTTCTTGACTTGAGCGATTATCTGTTAAGTATTCAGCTCTGGTCTTTCTGCCAACCCTTATATTTGCCCTAGTTGATTCATATCTGAGATTGTAAAAAGTACCGCAAAATCTTCTTAGATAAACAAATTGCAATACGAGAATAATACGCAAGCACACATCTTGATTTTCTTTGTAGGGTTAGCTAAGCAAACAAAAGCGCTTGCTAAACAAATGGAACCAACGATATGGCGACGACGCCGCAGCCATAAGGCGAAAGATAAACAAATTTTTAACAAAATATAGATATATATATATATATGTATATATTTATATAAATAGATATATACACAAGTTCCGTGCAGATAAATAACTAAATATATGGATAGGAATTTGTTGTAGACAAAGAAACAGGAGCAGACAGCTAGCTAAGAGAAGTAAAATGTTTTATTAAAATTTCTATTTAAATGCAAATTATAATTTATTGTAAGCCGTTGCTAAGCACGATCTGTAAGTGCTTGCACATATATAAATGTATTTATATGCATATTCAAATCTAGGTTATAACTGGCAGTGTTAAATGTATGTAATCGTGTCAGCAAAACAAACTCATACATATGTACTTGCTATATAACATATAGAAATGTCGTACATATGTACATACATATATATGTACCAAGTTTTTGTTCTTTGCTGTTGTTGTTATTGCCCTTTGCATTTTTGCTGTTTCAACATTTGTATTTTGCTTTCCTGTCTGCCTGCAAATCATTTTGTGTTATTTTCTCTACACCCAATTAAAGATATGGTATTATAAATTTGTTGTGCATTTTGCAACACGCAACAGCAAAACACGACATGAGTTTTAAATATGCCTGCCTTTTGGAGCACTGCTAACAATAAGTGCAGCATATATTTGATTGTTTGACATAACATAGTATAAGACTTTTGAACAGCGCCCTATTAAAAGCTCTGTTAAGGATTTGCCAATTATATAGCTTTACTATAAAATACCGCGGAGGTATCTACAAACACGATTTCAAATATTATAAACTTCAGTCATCATATCATATCGTAGAAAACTTTATTTTTTAAAGGTCATTAAGCAAAGGGTATAAAATATTTCGGCAAAGGTCAAGCAAAGTTTTCCTTACGTTTTCAATTTTTTATAAGCAATTCGTACACATACACACACTCACACATATGCTTATTCTGTGCCATTTTTTGTGCTATTTATTATTGCGCTCATAAAAGTTTAATAAGTGCCTATGCTTGTGTAGGTGAACTGCTGTGTGTATGGGCATATGTGTGTGTGTGTAAGAGAGAGAACGTGCGCCGTTGCTTTTAATTTCTGCTGCAACGAAGTCTCCCAGCATCAAATGTCAAACCCGCCCACCAGATGCCCCACACCCCACCACGAGCCGCATTTTTTTATTGGCTAATCAATTATCGATGTTGTTGCTGTTGTTCTTCTCTTGAGATTTTTAGCCCGGGTAGAGGCTAATATATAAGATATTAGCAAACAATGCCGCACGTAAGCGAAGCATCGATACTTGTATATGTATATATACATCCCCATACATATACATATACATATACATAATATTGAATATGTATGCTCTTGTGTTTTATCAGTCCGACAGCCCACACACTCGCACACATTCAAACATCTGGCAATTGTTTCTTTAAGTGTTTTATTTTCTGCACGATTTTACAGAGCAGCAAAAGCGGCAGCAACAGTGATTGATTAAAAGTTCACGCACACACTTACACATACACATGTATACCCTGTTGATAAGCCCCATCTCACTCTTTTAACACATATTGCGTTGCAGTTTACTTGCCATAAAGGTGTAAAAATTACACAGAGCAAGAGAGAGAAAGCCAGTGAGAGGGCTGACTAACCTTATCGCAGCTTATCTGTGTGAAGGCATAGACGCGATTATGACCGCAGCAGAAGCAATTGGTCGCAAACGTTAGCGGACAGCGGCGTCATTGACACGAAGACGACGACGACGACGGCGACGGCGACAAGAAAAGTAATTTGTCCAAAATGGTAAATGGCAGCACACGGCCAGTGAGAGCATTTGTGTTCGTGTGCGCAACACATTGAACGAAAGAACGAACCAAGACCAGAAGAACAGAACAACCAGAAGATAATGTTGAGCGAGCAGAACGCGCGGTGTGACGCGACGCCGAAGCCGACGCCGGCGACGACGTCGACGTCGCTGTCTCGGCAAGAAAGCAAGAGTAGCAAATGTGATTGTGTGAGAGCGAGAAGGAGATGTGAGCTAATATATTCGCTGCTATTGCACTCGAAAATTCTTTTGCTTTTGTTTTTATGATTTTTCTTGGAATTAACAACGAAAGACGACGGCCACAGCGAGTGCAACTGCAACTGCGACGGAGACATGCGCAGCCAGCAAGAAAAACAATAAGAAACAGGAGCGCAACAAGCAACAACAACACATTAACAGAACGTACAATAATGTCTGCCCAAGTGGCAACACATGATTTTGCATGGTCAGGCACACACACTGCACACACGTGTGTGAGTACATACATACGTAAATGCATATGCACTTATACAAACATACATACATATAAGGGTAATGTTAAGTTTAAAATTTATTCAAATTTAAAGACTGAACCATTAACAAACTTATATTAAATAGCAAAATACAAAAAAAAAAAAATGTATTTTCCTAGAATTTGCCACAACAAATCCTCTTGCTACAAGGGGGAAAAGTGCAGCAGTAGCAGCAACAGCGTTGGCGGCAGCGGCTTATGGCCCGCCCACGCACAGCCCCCGCCGACGGCATTTGCTTGTTGGTTTTTGTGCACAGAGAACGTGCCCGTGTTTTGCTCTTTTCTTTATATTCTATTTACCTTTAATACATAAACAGCTCAGAATGTGTAAACACGTACGAGAAACGTATGTGTGTGCATATGTTGGTATTGGTAGCGACGGCTCCACAACACATATACGGGTACACTATAGTGCAGAGCAGCAAAGCACACATACAAACACGTTAAAGACACGAGCAGACCTTTTCTTCTGTTTCTTGCTTGTTTAATATTTTGATATGTATTTGCCGTTTTATTTTTAAATCGTACATATACACATTTACACAACTACACGCACACTGTCACTGGAACACTACTCAACTTATGTTCTGTTTCAAGTCGGGTGAATGAGCTCTCAAAATTATGCGAATTGAGCGGGCAACGAATTATAATATTTATGAAATAATATAATATATTACAAATATTCAATTTGTATTACTTTTGCAAAAGCCGCGAGGGCACACCACCAACGCGATTGGACGCACGAACATAAATGTAAAATGGACCTGTTAAAGTCAATATCAAACTGATTTACTCAAAATGGCACTGTTAGCGCAAAGAACAGCCGTGTGGCCAGACGTTCCAAATTCTGTTTACAGTTAAATATTCGTAATGTTGTATATTTTTGAATTATTAAGAGAGCTTGCATTATTAAGTAGTATTAACGAGTTATATAATGGCTTATATGTAGATATTTTAATACTTATACTTGTAGCATGCAAAGTTTTCACGCTCAAGTGCGAAAGTAATAAGAGATTGCCCCTGTTTCACTGTATATTGTTTAAACAGGGCTTTCATATCGAATCATTACCCAGAACTCTGGTAGTATAACTGTGCACTATTCATAAATAAATAAAAGTTGTCGATTAACATTATCTGATGTTCGGCGAGTTCTTTATCATTATCAATTTGGTTGTGACTTGCGCCTGCTAGACTAACACCAGTGTTTTACGGCCATCGAATGTTCTTTAGTTGTTAGTTCAGTATGCACCCATTTTCGAGGAAATGTAATTAAAACCTATTAAATTGATTTTTCGCAACTTGCAGTTGCCAAAAGGCTTAAATGGCTGTATGGCAACTCTGTTCACCTGTTGTACGCCAGCCGCCCACAAGGGAGCGGCCATGACTAAAATAAATCAATATTCTTTTATTTTACACTATTTAATTATACTGGCCCCTTTTTCCTATTTAGCGACACTCACCTGGGGTTAAGCAGAAGTCCACTTGATAGTTTTTATAATTGTTATATATGTATGTATGTACATATATGTGTGGAGCCTTTGCGAGGCTCTGGTAAAACGAAAAAAAAAACTCAAGCTTCAAAACAAATCCAGCACGTATAGCACACAAATTATTTAGGAACAGTTGACAAAATATGACTTGCGCTTACACAAAATAATATAAATAAATAAACAATTTGTTTTTGCGCACTATTTTTGCACAACTGAGCGCGACTAGAGATGGTAGATATGACCAAACGATGAACAGGAGCGTTATCGCACTGAAGCTATCGTTGGCGTTGCCACCCTATGAGGTTCACTGAGAAGTTTTGGCGCCCCTTTTAAATGTTGGTCACATGTATTTAAAACATTGTAAATTTATTTTTGCTAATAAAAAACACACTCACATATCATATAATAAAGTATTGGTTTCATGACTGAACATTGGTAAATTTACGATAGTTTTTTATACAATATTTTTACAGCATTTGCTACTCGACATTCGACACTTGAGTAAAGTAAAAAAGAGCTACAAAAGACAATTACACAATTATTTTAAGAGCTATAAAGTTGTATACATTAAACAGTTATTGTCCAGGTAATGCGTTTAATTACAAATAAAGCATCAAAATCAATACAATTGGAGCTTTGAATTTGAAACTTTATACAGATAGTTTTGTTGTTTTTGTTTTTTTTTTATTGTGTTTGTTTACTTTCAACTTAAAGAAAATAATCGTTTACATTGAAAAACAAAAGTAAGCGGTTGTGTATTCTTCATGACTCTCCCACATTTAACAACTAAAAATATCAATCAAATATATAACAATGCTGATGCTGCATAAGAATGCTGCACTAAATCCTTTCAAGCTATCGAAACATTTAACTTAAGTGCGAAAGCAGTACGTTTTCTTGTTTCGGGTTTTGCTGGTGTGTGTGTGTGTGTGTGTGTGTGTGTGTGCTAATGAGTATGTGTGTTTTGGAGGCCAGTTGCTACTATTCGACCCGACCACGCTTCAAGTGGGACAACTCAATAAGCCAAGCCTTGATCAAATCATACGTGGAGAAGCTAATGCCTACAGCAATGGGACCCTTGATCCAGTTCATACTCAGGCCCTTATAGAAGCCGTTTTTGATACCCTCCTCACTGTGGAAAGCAAGAGGAATTGAATGAATTAAAGGATTTGAATTACGACTAGGCGTGGCCAGCATACCGGTAGATCTTAGCCAGCGTCTCCAGTATCGTGGGAAACTGTTCGGGCGCGTCTGCACTAACACGCATCGTCTGCATGCGCCGACGCACAATATCCAGCGGATAGCTGGCCGTTTGTCCGGCCGCTCCGGCCGCGGCGCCGAAGGCCAGCGAAATGAGAGCATTTGGCTTTGTATTGCCAATAATTTCTGGTCAATTCAAAAGGTTATCGTTACAAAAGAATCGACGCACACAATCTAAAAGCATCGGTTACCATGATATTCGCGCTTGAGCGTTTCGTAGGTGAAGAAAGAGGTGCCCGCATAGGGTATAACACCCAAGACAGTGGCCCAGTAGCCACGGAACAGCGTTCGTGGTCCCTCCTCGACCCAGATTTTGGCAAACACTTGACGCAGTGTACGATACCCCGTGTATCTGTCCGTGACCGCCATGCGAGCGCGCGCCAAATCCAAGGGATACGTCAACGATTGCGATGTAATGCCCGCCAGCGAGCCGGCCACGAAACGACGTCCCTTGGTGCTGTTTATGAGCAAAGCAAATACACGTGAGATAATTAAAAGGTACGCCAAAAAAAACTCGAACTTACTTAGTTCCATTCTGATCCACTTGCAGGATACGCCGCCACTGCTCGTGGGATGTGAACTGAATGGCCGCGTAGGGCACGATGCGGGCCATTGTTGCCGAGTTGCCGCGCCAAAGGGCGAGGACGCCCTCCTTGGCATAGGTCTGCTGCAGATAGTTGAGCGATGCCCTGAATGAAAATGGCACATCCTTGCGTATTTGGAAATTGATTTTCGTGCGATCCAGCGGGGCAATTGTTGTTTTGGCTAACGCACCGGCCGCAGCGCCCGATATCAGACTGATGACCACCTCGTCCAGATTGTTGTGCACTGGAAAGGTAGGTGGAAATGGATACATGGCTCTTTTAGACAATTTTTGCTTGTGCAGGGTATCTGCTAGTCGAACAGGTCCAATCAAACCCAAGTCGAATTTACTTGTTTGTGGATAAAATAGAATTGTCTCGATTTTCTACTCAAATACACTTTCAATTTATTTCATTTTAGAGACTCGTTAAACTTGAAATTTTTGCTTAAATTGGAAAATTTATAAATCAACTAGAGCTATGTCGGGCTGTCTAAGATAAATGTTAATCTAGTTGAAAAGTGTACGAATTATAACTGTTTATACCCTGTACCCAATAAAAAAGGGGTATGATGAAATCGTGCAGGCGACTATTGAGACGAGCTGATCAGATCCTTTTGTCCCTCTGCCCAGCTGGAGGACTGCATCCATTTCAGAGAGAGAGAGAGAGAGAGAGAGCGAGAAGGAGAGGGAGAGAAGGAGAGAGAGAGAGGGAGAGATACTTGAAATGTGAGTTCTATTGCTCGCGGAATATTGTTTATAATAATCGATCTTTTATCTATTTCTATAAATCGATAAGCATCGAAATTTATGCTAGCGAGCTCTCTGAAGTTATCGATAGTAAATTATCGACTTTTAAATAATCGAATTAGAACTTAAATTGCATTTGAAGATGATTAATCCCTATGCCAAAACATATTCCATGATTGTTTGGAACACATATTCATTCTATCGGACACTAAGCTATGCAGTTTTTTAGTTTGTTCAAAGGAAACGGGGTATCTACTGGTCGTGGATGGGGCATGATTCCAATGTTTCCGTTAATTTCTTAACATTTCTCTTACCATCTGTGGCCTTTGCGCTCTGATTGGTGGACGTGGCCTTCATTTGGGTTCCCGTCGCGCTCTTGTGTCCATCCTCGTCCTCCGCTGGAGCAGCTGTGTCGTCCGCTGCGGCCGCATTGTTGGCCGTGCCAGCGGCAACTGTGCTGGATAATTGACTACCTGTTGTTGTAATGGACATGACAATGTTCGGCTTCTCCAAAAGGCGGCTCATGGCAGACTGTCAGGATTGAAGGCACAATGAATTTGCATTTTAATTAGAATTCCTGGTCAAATGCCTAAGAACTAATATTATTGGCTAATAAAGCAGCTAACGTATTAGCTTGAGGCCCGCTGATAAGGCAGAGCATCGCTCTGGACGAGAACTTTCGCAATTGTTTCATAATGGAACAAACATATTATATATGCATTTATTTATTAATTTTTTTGGCACGCGTTCAAGAGCAATCAATTCTCTACAATTTCAATATTGGAGGCATTTCTTGTTTGTTTTTAAAATAGATAAAAAGTGTTTTGTGGAAACTTGGAATTGTACTTTGCTTTGGACTGCTGCCGTTTAAAGAGCATTAGATTAGGAGTTTTGTGATTAGATTGGAGCTCATTAGCGGCTGGTTAAGTTTAGGCTTTGGCTAAATTTATTTTCTTATTTACAACAAAATTGTGAGACAAACAAAAGCCGCACACACGCCACACTTAAATCTATTTATTTAAAACCTGTTGTTGACACTGAGTGTAAACAGCCGAGAGCAATAGCAACAAATTATCACCAAAAATTGAAAAATAAAAATATATATATAGACACATACGTACGTATGTGTGCACACAAATAGATGCACATGGAAATTCGCAAATTCTTTTGACTTCCGCATTTGCGATTTTCAATTGCGTTCCCAACAAGTGAATAGTTTTTTTTTTATACCTCGCATTAGGCAGATACGTGCCTAGGCCGTGATAAAAAGAAAAAACTATCTCTCCTGATAAGATAAGGCGCGAAACAGCCTTGCAGCTGCCGACTTGATGAAGCTGGCATATAATATGGCCTGAGCAAGTGGGGCTTTGTGGCTTTTAGAGGGAATCCAAGTCAACATTTGTAATTATTATTAAACATTCAAGTTTTCTGTTTAGTTTCGTGTGTAAGCAGTTCTTTTTCTCATGCCTGAAGTGTGCATTTTTCACATACTAAAAGCCAAGTAAATGGAGCTTGACGAGCTTTCCTTCTGTTATTTGTCCATTTCCAGACACAGTAGTCACTCGCATATAGGCAACATTCAGAGTTAATTTAAATCTTTTAATATTATCTATTTTTTGTTTTTTCTTATTTTTCTTAATTTTATTTTGATTCGAGGAAAAATTTGAAAATTCTATATTTAAAACATTTGATCAGAATTATCCTGTACACGTGCAAATCAATTACGTCCCACTGTGTACTGGATGCTGCTAGCTGGAGAGGGGGTGGGGGTGGGGGTTGGGGCGGATTTGCATTGCAGGCCGGCAAATGTAAACAAGTTCGTTAAACGTTATTTGTTGTTTGGCATTGAGTCAAGGCTGTTGCCTATATCCATGTATACATATGTGTGTGCATGCATATATGTATGTGTGCGTTTAAGTGCGTTTATAAATAGATTCACTCATATTAGGTCTGCCTAATAGGAAGCATGCGGCAATAACAGTTTTGATTCTGATTGGCATGGACTTTGCACCCGGCTCAGTTTGCTGGCAAACGTATGCAAATGCGTATGCGATATATATACATATATATATATATATATGCAATAAAGTCGAATCATAGCAACACTTTGTCTTTTCTACATTACTGCGTTTCAATTTTACGTTATTTGTCAATTCAATGTAATGGAATTCTGATTGGGACTAGCTGGCCACACAGCAGAGCACAGAAAACAGCTGTTGCTTAACTCTGCTTCACTTGCTGCCAAGTGTGCCAACCCCCGCAGCCCGCAGCCCACATTAACACATTACCACATCCAACTGGATTACAATTCATGCGTTCTGTTTTGGTTTTTGTTCGCTTATTTATCACGTTTTCTGTTGCACACACGCACACACTCGCGCAAGCGTATTATATAATTGGCCAAATTTAGACAGCATTAAAATTATGCTGCCAAGACAGCGACGATAACGCACCTTTGTTTTTGTTGTTAACACAGATTATTTGCGTATTCGCTTCTGGCATGCAGCAACAAGAACAACAACAACAACAACAACAATATCGGAGTCGTTTTGTCGCGCACGCACATGCACCTACTAGCTGTGGCTGGCAATTCTGGGCGCCACGCTCATTTATTTTGCTTTAATTCACAACACGTAATTGTTATTATTTAATACATAATAATCATTTGCAGCGCGGCTTTGTCTTTCCGTCTATTCTGACCATTTGACAAAAACATCGAGAACTGTATGAGCACCAGGGCTGCAACGCTAGCATATTAACGAGCGTTGCCACACTATTGAAATAGTGTTGCATTTGGCCTCTGGTAGCACAGCACAGCTGCAGCCAACTTCACGCAAGACGCACTTGGAGCAAAACAGCAAAGTATCAAAAGCATAAAAATATATAAAAACAATGAATGTATCGAATTTAAATGACTTGCGATCCTATTCTCGACACTGGCTAACCGAATTTATCGAACAGTATCAGGAGGAGGAGTGCTTGTGGCAGCCAAAGCATCATGATTACAGCAATCACGCCGCCAGAAATAAAGCATACGACAAACTGGTTGAAAAACTAAAAGAAGTTGAACCAAATCCAGATCGCGCCATGGTCGTTAGGAAAATCAACTCACTGCGCTCGGCATTTCGACGCGAGTTTCGCAAATCCAGCAGCAAAAGCGACTACGAGACGCGCCTCTGGTACTACGACAAACTGCTCTTTATAGCCGATCACAAGCCCAAACGGCATTCGAACGAATTGGCTGGCAAACCCAAGCGTGAGCTGCACATCAATTTCGACGACGAGGACTCCATGGATTTCGAGGAGGAATCTCATCATACGCCACAGTCACAGCACATTGAAACCATTGTGCCCAACCCAAACGATGAGGTCGAGGAGGTGGCCGCCACCAACAATGTGGTGGTCAGTAGTCAGGGCGCCACGCTAAGCACCATATCAGTGACGCCGGCCGATTGTGTGACCTTGGTTAAGGATGAGACGCATCAGGCACACAATGAAGTGGCGGAGGCGCATCAGCGTCTAGTCGCACAAGCCACAGCCGCACAGAGCTCCCTGGCCGCAGCTGCGGCTGGCGGTCATGCGGTCAAGGTGCTTGAGATTACATCGCTGGACTCGAATTCGCAGCGTGAGATACAACAGGTGAGTCTGGGCACTTGGCCGGCCACCAGCACAGATTGCATGGTACAACTTTCGCCTTGCAGGCTGTCAACTCGCTCGAGCACCACCAGCAGCAACTGCAGCATCTGCATCATCAGGCCAACGGGCATGGACAGCCCGTGCCGACCATTCAGATTGGACGCGACCATTACCAGCCGCTGTTTGGCAATGCGGCGACCACCGCGTATACCACAGCCGCGCCCGCCACGTCGCATCGTCACGAGGATGAGTACGATGCGATTGGCGTGAATGTGGCCAGTAAATTGCGTTCTATTAATCACACGCAGCGCATAATTGCGGAGAAGCTCATCAGCGATGTCCTCTTCAATGCGCAGCTCGACAATCTCACCGTCAACTCCTCGTTGACGCAATAATTTCTAACTTAAATAAGGTCTAGATCTGTGTGTATGCAAGCGAAGACTCAAGCATTCGCTTCATGCGTGCAGAGTTTATTTTACATAAGCATATATGTATGTATTTACGTCGTCCGTTTATGTGTTAGTTTGTATATTACAGTTTAAAGTTTTCGTAGATCTAATTACTGCATCACTTGAATGCAATAAATAGCTTTTAATTAGTTTAACAAAACAACATTTTGGACATGTTCATTTCGGCGGGCTGTTGCTCGAGTTGCCCTTCTCGTCCGGCTCGTCATCGCCTGTCAGTCTCCTCAGCGCGTATTTGGCAAACTGCAAGCAAATAATATTTATATATAAATATATTTAGCTGCACTTTAATCAATCAGCTTTTGGCACGCACCGTAATTGGAGGCAAATCAATTTGTTCCTCGACTGCAACCAGTTTGCGATTCTCCTGCAATATCTTCCATCCAAGGTGTACGGCAATCAGGGTGGGTATCATCACTACGGCGACTATGTTGCGTGAGAAGAACGATTGTTTTTGTGGTGCCGGCATCTTTATTAACAATTTATGACTGGATCAGAAATATTGTTTTTATTATTTAACATGTTTGTTTATAGCGATAGCATCGATAATGTGCATGTTATCGATTAATTTGCTAATGTGCTAAAAAATACCCACATTTTGCTTACAAGATGGCAACGCTGCTCGTTTGGCGCCAAAAATTAAACTATATCAAAACAGTCTGCAATTTAAATGACAACTACCCTTATTGAATTGCCTTGGCAAATGTTGCCTTTTGTGGCTTATAAGCAAGCGTAGGCATAAGCAAGACTTTAGAAAAAAAAAAGTATGGTCTGGAAGTTTTGTTGTGAGCAAAACGTGCAAGGTCTAATAATTAATGCATCTAGACTTTTATTTGCATAAGCTTAAACGCAAGTTTTCGGCACCGGACAGCTCATACCACTAGCTGCTATAAACTTTGTTGTTTATCGAGATATCTGGACTTACAAAAACTTTTGAGTGTATTACAAGAATCGGTGTTTTTTCTAGCCAATTGTTGTTTACCTACAAAGTTACCTTTGACTTAATTGTTGGCAGCTGCTGCTAAGCGCATAGATTTTACCTGTGTGTGGACACAGCCAAGTGTTTTTGTTCCCAGCAACCCTTCCCACTATATTCATCCCTCTCTCTCTCTCTCAATCGCTCTCTCTCTCTAACCCAAAGCATAGAGCGCGTGAATAATGACATTTGTGCGGTCAAAGTACGTCGTGTTCAGCGTGTGGGTAGATGAGCATTGCAGGGAGTTTGTCGTCGGCGTGTCTCAGCTGCTGCTGTCTGTGAACCTTGCACACAACACAACAACGACAAGAAGAAGAAGAAGAAGAGCAGCAATATCAATACAAATACAAATAAATAAGCGAACCGCTGAAGCGAGCAGCCAGCGTCAGTTGCGCTGCCTCCGTTGAGAGTTAGTTTCGACAGCACTCGCAGGCTATTCACAACAAAGCAAGCGTCAAAAAAAAAACAGTTATTGCGATTATTTTTCAGTTTGGCGAAACGAAACGAAACGAAACGGGAATTAAAATTCCAGTTGCTTAAGAGAAGTTAGTTTTGCGTGTTTTGCGTTTTGCTGTCTTTCGTGTGCTCCTTTCTTTCACATTGTTTGTTGCTTTCTATTTGCATGCTCCGTTCCGTTCCATTCGATCCCCATTGCCATTCCAATTTGTTTCACGTACCGGGCGCTATGTGACCCAGTGACGCGTGTGTTAAAATCGATAGTCGCCTTTGTGCGCCTCCACCTGGAAAGTGTCCTGCTCGACGGGTAAGTGAACTAAGTGTTCGGGCTTATCGCCTGGCTCAAGGCGCTTATTGTAACCTGCTTATTGTTGCTGGTTGGCTCTTTGGTGCGCTGCGGCGCATGTATGCCTGGATGCATAAAGACACAGATGAACGCTATCCAGCCCACAATATTGACAACCAGGGCCAGCATTACGCCGTAGAACAGGATGATAACTATTTTCTCTCGTCGCGTACGTTCGGCCCATGGCACATGATCCCGTTGGAACTGTGTGGCAGTTGGACTTTTTTTTAACAACTCTCGCTCGCTCTCTCTCTCTCTCTCTCTCTCTCTTTCTTCTTACTCTCTTACCGGCATGTCAAGTGGGGCAGCAAGAGCGACTAGCAAATTGTGGCCCATTTGAGAAATTTTACTTTTACAGAATAAAATTTGTAACTAAATAAAAATTTGAGGCTTACGTTGACACTGTTTGAAATCGCATATTCTTTCGATAGACAGACACTCTATATATTATGCATGGTTCCATGTTATTTCCCATCAAACCCATAAAAAGTTTGAATCTCTTTTGTCTATTTTTCTGCTCTTAAATACATCCATTAAAAGCTGCCAGACACTTGATAAACTGAGAGTATGAACAACGAGATTGGGGTTTATAGAACTTCCTAGATTAAAGGTATATCATTTTCAAAAATATCAGATTAGACTTAAATATAATAAAATGTCATATGTTTCAACCCTTAGATTTTAGTTCCATTTAAGAGAAAAAGACAAGTTATTTACGTAGTCAAACTAGGATAGAAGAAGATTTAATATTCGGAATGAGCAGAACTTCAGATGAGCATTGACTGTAAGCCTCGTAGCTTTCGAGGATTTTCCTAAAATCAATTAAGGTTTCTCTCAAAAAAACCTTAGCCTAACGGGACTGAATGCATAAAGTTTTGTGAACAGAAAGATAAAACACAGCCAAAGACAACTTTTGATACCGTTAATAAACGCAGCAGGGATAATAACAGAAATGTTAAATGTTAAATGAGAAGTCATGTTAAATGAGAAGCAATGTTAAATGAGAAGCAATGTTAAATGAGAAGTACCGTTGAATAGATAGAGCATACAAGTACGTTATATTTATGATATGATCACATTCCCAGAGCATCTTTCACTGTATGATACGCTGCTCGCGCAGTGCGGCAATCCGATCGGCTCCATAGCCCAGCAGCTTGGCCAGCACCTCGTCCGTGTGCTCGCCCAGCATGGGGGGCGCGGTGCGGGCATCGTTGCGTGCTTCACTGTAGACGACCGGCGGTCCGACGACCTTGACGCTGCCGTCGCGCGCATGTGGCAGCTTCTTGACCAGCCCAATGGCCTGGATGTGCTCATCCTCGAACACCTCGCGTATGCTGTTGACGGGGCCCACCACAAAGCTGGCGCCCTCGAATTGCTGCATCCAGTTCTTGGAGGTGTCACGCGCCAGTATCTGGGCCAGCAGGGCGACCAGCTCTTCACGATGCTGCACGCGATCCTTGTTGGTCTTGAATTTGGCATCCTGCGACACCGGCTCAATGTTCAGCCGGCGGCATAGCTCCACAAACTGGGCATCGCTGCCGGCGCCCAGGGTCAGGTAGCCGTCGGCTGTCTTGAAGCTCTGGTAGGGCACAATGCTGGAGTGGGCGGTGCCCCAGCGCTGGGCCTCGGTGCCGGCATTCAAGTAGTTGCTGGCCACGTTGATCAGCAGCGAACAGCACGTGGACAGCAGATCCACATCAATCTTTTGGCCGCGCTGGGTGCGCTCCCGTTGCAGCAGCGCGGCCAGAATGGCGCCGTGCGCATACAGGCCCGTGGCCACATCTGTAACGGCCACGCCCACCTTGCTAGGCGGCCCATCACGTTCGCCCGTAATGTGCAGCAGCCCGCCCATAGAGGAGGCTATCACATCATAGCCCGGCCGCTTGGCGTAGGGGCCCACAGACCCATAGCCACTGATGGTGCAGTAGATCAGTCGCGGATTCACTTGACGCAGCTGCTCATAGCCCAGGCCGTAGCGTTCCAGTGTGCCGGGCACATAGTTCTCCACCAGCACATCACACTTGCCGGCCAGCTGATGCATCAGCTCTTTGCCGCGCTTCATGTCAATGCACACGCTACGCTTGTTGCGATTTTGGGCCAGAAAATATGCCGCATCGCCGCTTTGCTCCAGAAACGGTGGCCCCCATTTGCGCGCCTCATCCCCGAAATGCGGACGCTCCACCTTGATGACCTCGGCGCCCAGGTCGGCCAGCACCATGGTGCAATACGGGCCGGCCACAATGCGCGTGAGATCCAGAATGCGCACGCCACGCAGCGGATGACGCTCATCCACGGCAGACGCGTCAAGGTTAACATTGTTGTTGTTGTTGTTGTTGTTGTTCTCGCTGGCAGCCGCAAAGCTTCGCAAGCTTTGACGCGCAGCAGCGGCTGCGCGTGAGAGAATCAAACGTTGTAACCACATAGATAACGGCGTAGTGTATCTGTTTATTTTCCAATCAATTGCTGTTTGCTTGTCTATTTACTGTCACTATTCCAGTTGTTGTTGTTCTTGCTTAGGGCTGCGCGCGTATGCTTAATGGAAAGTTTTCCAGACAACTGTTGATCAGCCACTGAACCAAGCACAGCAGACAAGTGAGAGCTTTCTTTGAACAGCGCCCACTATTTGCGCTCTCTCGCTCTTGCTCTCTCTCTTTTCAGATACGTTCTTGCATAGCTATGCAAACATACGATAGCAGCATGTTAAACGTTATCTGTGGCATTAACTAAGTTTGGCATACATTTTATTAGCTCTCTCTTTATTGTGTACTAACTCTCTTAATGCATTGGCAGAGTACATTGGCCTTTATTGCATACGGCTGGAATGTTACCCAGTTTTTCCCAATAATTCAAGCAACAATTTTAATTCCTTCCGGTCCATTAGCATTAACCTTGGTGGTTTCCCGTTCTGCTCCAAAATAAATAAAACCTGCTTTGTGTTTTTGTTTTTCCCATCAAATTACGCTGGCTCCAAAGGGCACAAGTCCTACACAACTCAAAATGAATGTTATTTTTGCGTGTGATCCCAAGTTTAAAGACTGTAATTTGAACCTCCAGACAGTCTGGGATTCTAGCACAGCCCCCTAAGTACTTTAATTATATTTTGTTGTTCATAGGCAACGCTCTTAATTAGCCGGCTTAAAGCTGAATGCGCTAATGGTTGCGCAATTAAAAAACAATTTTTATTTCATAGACAGCTAAATGACAAAAATTGAAGTGCTTACAAAACCAAACAAAAACACAAAATACCGAATTGCAATTAAAAAGAGCGTCAGACATCAGCGCTCCATCGTATTGGACCCCAGAATCTAATACTCCCAGCATATCAGCATTTCTAAGTGTGTGTGTGTGTGTGTGTGTTCATATTTCTGTTATTCTTTGTTGATTTTCGTAAACGTTTTGTTTTCCAGACAAATAGAATAAATATTTGACTGTATTTATTTTTACTTATTCTTCCAATGATCTCAGTTTCAAATTCGCCTATTTACCAGCTCTTGTGTACGTCATTGTAATTAGCTGACTTTGTTTTGGTTACATAATTAACTTGGTAATTTGTTGTAATCTGTGTAATTAACAGTTCAAAGGAACAACTTTGCTCAGATTCTTCGCACTTGGACAATAACAATAAAGGCAAATAAATCGGAGCTCGTAAGTTCGTGTAATTGCCGCTTAGCAGGAAACATTCCAAGTCATTAGCTCCATTGACGCAATAATCGATAAAGATATGGCTAAGACAACAATAAGCCACACTTAGAGAAAAAAAACTAAACTAAAAGAACTAAATTTTCTTTATTCCGAAATAATGTATTCAAATGGAAAAGCAGAAGAAACGAAAATCGAAATGCGTTTATTCAAAATTAAACAAGAAATATTTCTACATTATTTAAGATTAATCGAAATAACACTCAATATTACAGCTGCACTGAAATTGCAAATAACAAATTATTAATGCCCCATTCGATTCTCCAAGTGTATTTACACAATGGGATTTACAAATGAACTTTAAAGCCGCGCCGACGCATGCAACGAACTGAACCTAAGAGCAGCTGCTCATTTTAAGAGAGCGCCACTTAAGCGCACGAACCGGTTCAAGCTTTCGGCTCAGCGCTGAGCGCGCGTAAAGCTTGCAGCGAGCAGAGCTTTAAATGTTATGCCCCACGCTGGCTGCTCATTTATTTACTTAGCGCGCGTCATTCGCAGCGGTTCGTTCGTCAAATCGCGGCTCGTTTCAAAATTCGTTCCACTGGGCCAAGTTGCCAAGTGCACTCACAGTTGTTGTAGAGCCTCCTACCCCCCACCTCAACACACGCACATACATACACAAGTTATAGTGCAACAAAATGAAAGCCAGTGAAACGTTAAGCATGCGTTTGCAGCGCATACAAATTTATTTAGAAAAATACAATCGCTGCCGCAACTAAATTGAATAATTCGGTTAGCACAAGATGCAGTCGGGCTCAAGAAAGTGTTGCCACCAGCTATTAGCCAACTGACCAAAACAGCTGAGAGAAATAAAAATCAAAATAACAAAAACAACAAAAAAAAAAACATAAAGTATTAAGCCATCGCCAGCTTCATAGCCAACATCGTGTTCGAGTTCGTGTCGTGTGTTTTGTTGTGCAAGCGCAAATCGCAGCAGCCGCTGCCGCTGCCGCTGCCGCTGCCGCTGCCGCAGTCGGCGTCTCAGTCGCTGCAATTGCAGGCCAGCTGCATATTGCATATTGCACAATCCTGTCGCTTGTTGGCCAACCTGTTCGCTTGTATCTGTTGGCTACAGTTTTAATATAATTCAATAAATACCCATATATACATATATATATTTGTAGATAAATATATATATATATATATTGAATAATTTCACTTTGAAGCCGTTTAAAGTCCAGCCGTCAAAATTGCTGTGCTACTGTGTTCCAGGATCCTGGGGTACATCATGCGGCGCTTCCTGCGCTCGGCCATGATTGTCTTCAGCTGGTTTGTGGTGCCCTACAGCCGCTACACCAACATCAAGGTGATGCGGCGCAAGCTGCCACCCATACGCAGCCATCTGCTGGAGATACCTGCCGTCGACCTGGCCAAGCTAATTCGCAACAGAAAGGTAAGTTCCACCTTTGGTCACTTGACCAAAAACCACTTGCTCAGAAAAAAACAAAAACAAAATAAGCCTCAATCGAACGCACCTCAAATTGGCGAAATCTTGCAAAATATCTCTAGACAGCTTGACAGTCGGACAGTCGGTCAGGGGAGGGGAGGGTGTGGCAGGGTTGCGGGAGGGGGGAAGGGGCGTTCAGTCCACAATTGCCTAGTCCACTTAATGCACGCGCCAAGTCAACGACAACAAAGGCCACTCACAACGCTTGCCACATCCATTAGATACTTTGTGGCAAAGTTGAGGCAATCTGCGGCCGATGACTGCTCGCTGCGGCCAGGTGGATGGACGGCCATTAGCTGACTGTGTCGCAGGTGTTGACTGTGCTCACCTTTAACACAAAGAGTTTGCCTTAAAATCTCAACTCTTGAATTGTCAAAGTCTAGACTTCAATAAGGCTAAGCTATGCACAAGTTATGGCAGCTCCGATTTTGATATCCCACATTAACTATATGAAAATATGCAAAATTAAAAAAAAAAAAACAAAACAAAGTACTTTGACACAATATTCAATTCGATTTTGTATTGACCCCGATTCTCGTTTAGGTTTTATATATTATTTTTGAGTTTAAATTTTACAAAGCTTGGCTTTACGTGATATTTGAACTGTGTACTAAAAGTATAAAAAAGTTAATAATAATATGCGAATACAATGGAAAAATTTGTTCTTTAAAAACTGTCGTTGTCTTAGCTTAATGAGTTAGATTGTGCTTTATGCTGGCATTCAAATTTTTGTAGCAGGTAACAAAAACAAGGCTATATCTATCTCTAAACGTGATTTTGTTGAAGCAAATAAAACACAAAAGATCTTGATACGCGTATATTATATGCATAATAAAAGAAAAAACCTTGCCGGATTATATAAGTTTATTAAATTGAAAAAAATTAGGCAAGTTACAGTAAAGATGACGGGTACTTCTCAGGGCCTATATTTTAGATATCACTTTTTCACCTTTTCCTGTTCCTATATAAATCTTTTAGTACTATCTTGAACTTAACGTTTTGAGGTTTATTTAGCATAGATATTTGAAAATATGTTGAAAACGCATTAATTTCTTTGAAAATAAATTTGAAGTCGGATCGGATGATAAACGAAAAAGTTGCATATATTCGTTTTCGACGAATTTTCCACACCTTCCGGCGGAATTTGCCAAAAGCCAAAGTGAACATTTCAGCTGTCTAGCTCTTACGATTAAACCTCATTCATTCATTCAGTTAGTCAATCAGTCAGTTTGTCAATCAGTCCGTCAGTCAATCAAGACAAAGAGTTTTATGTATAGAGATATGGGAGAACAAATCTGGATGTGGTTTCGTTTATGATTTCCTTTCCCATTTCCATAAAGAATCGCATTTTTTTTTTAATAATACAAATAAAATATATCTTTGGCTTAAAAACATAACTCAAGTTCCTCGAAGTTAGTTAAGGGGAAAACTATGAAAGGAACCTCAAGTAAATCGACATGCTTCAGAAAAAAATGTGCCATTACACTTTTTGCCCCTTGTCAATGCATGTGCAAATCCTAATTGCAATTCATAAATAGCCAAAGGCATAAACCGTAAATAACTCATGGCAATTTGAATTGAAACAAAGCATTTTATTGTATGTGTGCATATGGGGTCGTAGTCAGTTTCAAAATCGGGCTGTGGAAATGCCAGTCGGAGAAGCAATGCGGCAAATTGGTTAGCTAACCGCGGCCTAGAGAGCTGGCTTGTCTGTTTGGCTTGGCCATATCTCGGCCATATCAATAACATCTGGTAACTGCCTCAAATTACACAGAGACACACACGGTCCGAGAGTCAGGCGAGATGACGAATACACTCAGAAGAAGAAAGAAAAAGAGTATCTGCGAAATATGCTCGTAAATAATTGCAAGCTCTGGTCAGGTTATGTTTGTTGTTGCAGTAATTATTGTTGTTGTTGTTGGTTGGGCTTCTTTAGCCTGGTTTGCTGTGCTCCATAAGATTCATTGCGTTCATTGGTCCACATCCACACGGAGCGCACTTAAGGTCATGACTTGACAGACCTTATCGAGCCAGCACACACACATACACACACACACACACAGATATATTGCGTATTTCTCTTGGCTTAAATTTATCGTAATTGTTTATAAAGCGTGCTGTTTGTTTATATTTTAGTGCACGTTCATATAACATTTAAGTCTCTTTTGGTTTATGCGCGCAATGTGCATTAAAATCATTATTTTAATTATGATTTTTATTATAGTCGGCTTTTATATTTCGGTTTTCATTGTCAGTGCTTAAACAATTGCTTCATTTTATTTACGCAAATTTTATCAACAATTATTATTTTTATTTTTTTTTCGTTAATGTTTGCCAAACCAGTTGGTCTCTGCTCTGCTATCAGCTGTGCGTGTCACTGTTCGCATTCACGACCGGGTCATCGTCAGAGACGACTGCGACAACAATTTGCTACTCGAATTGAGATTTATTTAAGCAATAAGTAGTAGCAGCAAGGCAGGAGTTGTGCTGTAGATATAACATATTTCCATATATGTTAAAAACAACAACTGTATCATTCTTATTACTCGCAGCAAATAGAGCTAATTCAGACCCTATATCAATCAATGGCAACCATATCAATTTCCTCTGTCAATCAGCATTCTGACACAAACCGAAGCAGAAGTTTTCTCACTTACAGCTCACGTACACGACACACGGACACGCATTGAAAGCACATCGCAGGCCTCATCACATGCATTGCACTAATACACGTACATTTGCCAACAGACACACACACACACACGCACACTTAGCGCTGGCACTTTTAATGCTGCTGTTAAAAGTAGCTTTTGCTGTTAAGCACTGCGAGGTATTGCCCTAGTCGTATGAACAACTGTTGCTTAAACTTGTTTTTTTTTTTGTCTCGGTTTTCTTTTTTGTTTGTCTCTCCCTTTGACTTGAGCATGAAATATCTGAATCTGTGTCTGTGTGTCGCGATTACATTGCATGTTGTGTTTTGGCTTTATCAACAATTACAACAAGCAACAAGTAGTTGGGCATGTCAATGGACGCACAAAAGTCTGGGACTGTGACTAACTAGCTGTCAATAATTATAAGAAAAATAAATATATAGAGAGATTGTACTAACTGTCAGTCCATGTCGCCTTCCATGTCGTAGTAAACATTGCTGCCTCAAAAACTTCTCTGATTTTTATACGTCTGATGAATGTTTTTGACCGAATTCGAGGCTCTGACAGGGAAAAGCTATATTAGAAAAGTGAATTTCCATATTTGACAAGCCTATATAATATTTGGTAGATCCAATTGTTTGTTTACAAAGCATACTAAAATTCCTCTGGAAAGGCTAAAGATGTTATAAAATGCATTGCATAAACCTTCTACCGTCCGATTTATGTGAAAGACTGAGCTCGAACCCATTTAATCGTTGACTTTGATTATACAATTTCTATATCTTGACTATCTATATAATATTTGGTAGCTCCAATTGCCTTCTTTGACACTTATTTCTCCCATCTTGAATAGATTAACAAGACTTTAAGTAATACATATTATATAGAACCAAAGTGTTTCAGGTCTTGTAAAAAAGCTATATGCATTTCATATAAAGGGTATCAGCTGTTTTGTCTCATCTCAGCTCACATAATTTCCACTTTTGAATACTGTCCGAACCCGTTTGGGTTTTCGTCAACGGGTTGACCCACTGTTGAACAGTTTTCTGCCTTCACTGGGTCTTCAGGCAACACACTCACCTTTACATTCATGTAGCTGGCGTGTATTTGCTTGTAACTGATTTATGCACAACGCAGGTTTTTTTTTTTTTTTACCAAACCCCACGCATGTTGCACCCCGCTACCCCCCCTCCGCACTGCTTCACACGTCTTGCCACAACTGGCTGTGTACATAAAAAGTTTGAGTTCGAGTTGCGGCTGCAGCTGATTTATTATTACACTGGAAGTCATTGAAAAAGTCAAGTAGCCTTAATTTTAATAGTGTACATATATGCTCGCGTAAGAACGTACTATGTACTATACTTAAGCTTAAATAGTTGAAGCATTTAAATTCTCAATGTAACTTTAGCCAGCAGGCATTGAAATTTTGCGGGCACCTGTCAAAATGTCATCTTCAATTAAAATGCAATCGAATATGTGTATATATGTATATTTTAGCAGTCCAAATTTCATTTTATTTCATTTGAGATCCGTTGGCGGCTTTAAAGTATATCCATTTCATTTTTGATATATCAGGAGCTCTCTCTATTTCCTAGATTTTGAGCGACATAATTCTAAAATCATTTGCGTGTTGGATTTAATCAACTCAACAAAGCACGACTCTGTACTTTTGTTTACATCGGGTTTTTATTTAGAATAATTAACATATCGAAGTCCTCGTTGTTTTACGTTCATAGATTAAAAGTTAATAAGTTAACTTCTTAAACACGAAAACACACGAACATGCACGAAGTTTGTGTTCTCAATGGACACGCGTGTTACTTCTTGCTCGTGTCATGAAAAAAAACAACTCACGCTTGTTTAATGCATGTTATAAGATGGCTTTTTTACTGCATTAGATATATACATGTTTTTATTGATATAGTTTAAAGCTATATTAATAGATCTCTTTGCAGATCAGAAATCAGATAGGGAAAAGTCCTTATATGTAATGCAATTACGTTAAATTTTGTATACCATTATTGTAGTAGCCAAGTCTGTCTCTTTCTATGCGAACTAGTCTTTTAGTTGTAAAACTATCGTCTTGAAACTTTGCATACCCTCTTCCTGTTCCACGCAGTACATACATAGGTATGTCGGACCGGCCGGATCGAACCACTATATCATAATTAAGTACTTGTATGGAAAACGTTTTTGTTTTTTGAGATATATTACTCATGTATGCAAAGTCTTATCAACATCGAACCACTTTATCATATGGCTGCCATAGGAAAATTCGGTCTTTTTAATATTAAGATCCTTTTTTATATTAAGATAACTTTTCAAATCTCGGGACTTGTTAGATCCATTATGATTCTCATATATATCATATAGAAATATATAGGAATGATCGATGGAATAGTATGATCTTATAAGAAAAAAAAAATTGTGTTTTCTGAGGTATTTCAACAAACTCAGCTTATTGCAGCTTTATTCTTACATATCTGCAAATGGAAAGGGTCTACAAGGGTATTAAATCTTCGGCGTGCCGAAAGAAAATCAGAAAAAAGAGATTTATTAACAAGTGCTAACTGCTTTCACGTTGCCTCAGATTAAATAATTCAAATAAATTATTATTATTTTATAGTGAGAATAAATAAACAAAAAGGATCGAGGAAATACAAATACATTCACTTTCAAATAACAAGATCGGCACGATGGATGCAGGGTATATTATTTGTCGCATTCATTTCTTGCTTTCGTTATAAATATTCATTTTGTTTGCACAAGAATGTCTGGCTTTATAGAATGCGCCCTCCTCTGCCTCTGGCCAATCGTCAATTGCGAATCCGCATATTACTCATACGCCATGTCGCACGCTGCGGCATTCTTTCCCCCGCCACTCGGCGGACACAATACAATTGGCATGAATGTGGTTTTTTTTATTGATTTTAATTTAACGTAAATTGGTTTTGTGTCGACGCTAGGTTCTCACAAGCAATTAAGCGACAAGAATGGAACAATAAGACATTTACAAATAAGTACAAAATACAACTTGTGTCTAGAAAATGCGGAAATGATCAAAAGGCGTTTTTCTCTCACTCTCATCCCATTACAGATTAAAAGCGAAGAAGTGGTTGAGGCCTACATCGAACGCTGTCGACAGGTAAATAATACAAAAGCTGGTTTAAAACGCGGTTTCGGGCTTAATAAATGTGTGTTTATACATATATTCGAAATGATCCACAGGTAAATCCGCTGATCAATGCGATTGTGCAGGATCGCTTTGAGGAGGCGCTGGAGGAGGCGCGCGAGATTGACAATGTGATTGCCATGGGCATCAATAGCGTCGAGTCCATGGAGGAGCACACACCGCTGCTGGGCATACCGGTGACGGTGAAGGAGAGCATTGCTGTCAAGGGCTTGACCAATCAGGCGGGTCGTGTCTTCAAGACGCCGCAAATAGCCAAGTCGGATGCGCCCGTCGTGGAGCAGATCAAGCGCTGCGGCGGCATCATATTGCTGGTGTCCAATACGCCGGAGCTGTGCTTGCTCTGGGAGACGTACAACAATGTGACGGGCCAGACAAAGAATCCGTATGACTTGAAGCGCACACCGGGTGGCTCCTCGGGCGGTGAAGCGGCGCTCCTGGCGAGCGGCGCCTCGCTGCTGGGCCTCACCTCGGACATTGGCGGCTCGTCGCGTTTGCCGGCCATGTTCAGTGGCATTTGGGGTCACAAGCCCACGCCGTATGCGGTCTCGTTTCGTGGCCATCATCCGACCAGCGATTTTCCCAAATGGGGCGACTTCTTTACCATTGCCCCAATGACACGCTATGCCAAGGATTTGCCGCTGCTGCTCAAGTGCATGAGCGATCCGACTGGACCGAAATTGACGCTGGACAAGGAGATCAGTGCGAATGGCATACGTTTCTTTTTCATGGACAACGACGGGCCCTCGGGCATGATGCGTCCGCTCAGCCGGGATCTGCATGCGGCCATCAATCGTGTCGCTAGCGATTTCAATGCAAAGCGCGTCAATATACGCAAAATGAAATGGTCGCTGGACATCTCGCTATCGGCCATGCTGACCATGAAGAACATTGAGACAATTTACCACAAAACGGAGGAGGGCGAACAGCCAAAGACCGTCTGCAAAGAGACGGTCAAATATTTCTTTGGCTGCTCGGACAGCATACTGCCCTCGGTCATCTTCGGACATCTGCAGAATTTCATGAAGATAATACCCAATTCGCGGCACAAGCATCTGGCCAGCATCATCGAAGCGCTCAAGACTGAATTCAAGGAGCTGCTCGGCACAGACGGCGTTTTCCTCTATCCCACATTCCCGAACACCGCCCATCAGCACTATCAGATCTATCACAAGCTGCTGGAGCCCATGTACATGGCTATATTCAATACACTCGGCCTGCCCGTTACCAACTGTATGATTGGCCTGGATCGTCGCAATCTGCCCATGGGCATACAGGTGGTCGCCAATCCCGGCCAGGATCATCTCTGTCTGGCCGTGGCGCGCGAAATGGAGCGACGCTATGGCGGTTGGGTGCGTCCCCCCTCGGAGGATAGCCACAGTTATGCGCAGTCCAGTGGCAAGCGGGGCTGAGCCCGTTCTTCATTTAGTGAATTATTATTTCATTCGTCATTCGTCATTCGTCATGCACATATATATATATATATATATATATTTTTGATTCCATCTAGTTATCCCATAGTTAACTATGTGACATTTTATTGAAATCCCAAAGAAAATTATAGAAAATTTGGCGTACTTTTTACACAATTCATTTGGAGCTTTCTTTCCTACATTTTAATTCGTCTCACACACATCACATTTACTTCAAATCATTTCACATTCTAAGAAGTATTAAATTATTGCTTTTGTATTTGTCCAAATTAATGTCGTATGTACTCTAAATCATATTGTATGTATGTATATATATATACATATATTATTCTAGATCCTAAGTGTTAGGTTTTTATGGCCGCAACTGGCAGTTTAGATGATAATTTGTGTATTGTATATTTTTTTTAGCAACTGTTTCGTATTGTAAAGTCACAGTGAAATATGTGAATATTCATTGGGATTGATTGGATACCTGAACAAAATTTGTACCAGAAACAATTAATATATATATATATATATATATATATATTTTTCCATTAAGCCAAATTGTGGAATAAACAAATTATAATATCAGGCAAATATTTATTTTAAGAACTTCTCTTGCGCAAGCCTCGCAACAGGTTGGCCTCCAGTTCACGGCAGACTCTCTGTCTCGGAAGGTGCGGAGAGGGTGAGTGGGGGGGGGAGGGGGGGGGGGGCAAACTAGGCACTGTTATGGGCTAATAACGAATATAATAAGCTACAACAGACAAACAAAGCAAAACTGGCTAATAAGCAGCTACTGCCAGAGTCGCAAAACAAATGGTTCCACCTGGCTGAACCCCCAGCACAGAACATTAAAAAAGACTTTTATTTGTGTATGTATGTGCACATATGTATGTGTGTATGTATGTATATATACATATGCACAGCTTAAGTGCATGCAGCAGCTGCCCCTGGGCAACCATGGCGAATGACTAGCTCTTTTGCCGCCGGATCATAATCGGCCAGCAATGGCAGCTTTTAAGTGTTGTCATTTTATTGGCCTGGCTAACTAGCTGGGCGGGCGGCCAGAGCTGCTGCACGGTTAGATTTTTCGACTATTTCGTTTTTGTTTTTATTTTCGGTGACTTTTTGGAGTAGCTCAAGGTTTTTGACAATATGGCTTGCGCAATTGCGCTTGCGGCCTGGCTCTAAGTTTTCAGACAGAACGTGTTATTTGGCCAAAAATTGGAGGTAACTTAAATTCTGGCCAAAGAATGTGGCGGCCAGTTTTTTTTAGCATGGCCAGAAACTATCATGAATTGCTGCAGCCCACAATTAACACGCGCAGTAAATTTTGACTCTTTTAATTAGCATTACGGGCTCTGCCCGTAGCCAAGTTCTGTTGCTGGCCGAAGAGGGCTCAAATGAACATTTGTAAGCCAAGTATTTTTAGCTACCTGTCGAGAGACGGTCTACAGAAAAAATAGAGAGCGAACTCAGCCGAACATCGCTGACTGGAAAGCCGCGAGCAGTCGTTAAGTGAGAGCGGCAGAGAGCGAAGAGAATATGCAACCATGGTTACCGTGCAGCCGCACGAATATATAAAAAAGGTTAGTTTAGTTGCCAAAATATACTCTTTCCCTTGAGCACTGAGTATTTGTTAAAGCCAGATTAACTATTTACATTTTTCTTGAATTTGGTACATTTTCCTGTAACTTTTGATTGCAAATATTTTTATGTGGCAACCATGGCCATAACCAAATCTTGTACTTTCTCTCACGTTAGGTACATGAACCTTGCTTGGAACGAAATTTCAATTTTTTAATTTTCCCAAACACTCATGACTGAAAATCCATGAGTTAAGTACCAAAGATTTTCAACTAAGTGCATGCCATTTTATTGATAACATTTAAAAACTTTATTTTTATGCTTCTACAAAAATGGTACTTCTTGAAATTAGGTACAATTTATGGTACAAAATCTTGTTATTAGCAAATCGCTGAGCGTAACAAATTCAATTGAGTAGCTATCAAATTAAGCCGTTATCAATGCTGCACACACACACACACACCCACACACTCACACATACAAGGTGTGCAGAGAGCGTGAGAGTGAGAATGAGCACACAGCGCTGACCATTCCAGTAGTCAGCAACATTCCAGTTGTCAGCAGCATTCCAGTCCATTAAAATGGCTGTCTTCAGTCTGCAGCCAAGCCTATCCCAATTCTTGCCGCTGTGCACCTCGTTCATTTCAAAATCGACTCAAGCAGCGTGCGGTTGTGTCTGCGCATAAGATCCGACTTTTGACTTCTAAATAGATGCACACACATAGTTAGGCTGTACTATTGATAATGCTTTTTTTTTTTTTGGCTATTTTATTCTGCACATTTGAGGTGACAAATTGATTACATATTTGTTTACCGTGATCTATGCAGATAGATTAAAACTGTGTCGATTACCGTGTTAAATCAACTAAATATCAAGTGTGATCTTAACCCCGTAAGACTCAGACACGTGTTTGCTTTTAGCAGACGCATTTCGATTTGGCCATTGCCACGTGCAGGCCAATACTATTTTTAATTAAGTTACATACTAAAGAATAGCTTAAGTTTCTTATAAATAAACCAATTCAGGATGATTTTGATATAGCAAGGGCTCGAAGTTGTAAGAATCCCCAATCTAAAATGTTTTCTAACCTATTAAAATAGCGATATTGATGAAGGCTTTGTGCACAGGTGTACTTATCAGTTTACATTTCCCATTTTTAAGATAAGATTTCGATAGTCTAGGGCATCTAATCTTTCGGTAGTTCAAAGATAGACAAATTGAATTTTCTTACCTAGTTTTATGAAAGCATTCGCTTAATTTACAGAACCTTTGAGCAATTGAATAACACCAAAAATGACTTATACATATATATTTTCGAACAGGGCATCATTTTAGACATGATTTCTATAGTAAACTCCATTTAAACTCCAGATTCTTTATAAGTATTTAATACATGATGCTGAAGCTATTTACATTACTCGAACTGAATATTGAGAACAGATCGCGCACAACATTTAACTGGGCCATAAGAATCGACATACTTATAAAGGCGAGCAAAGAACTTAACAAATTAAATTTTCACACGATGAAAAACTAAAGAAATCAAACTGGTGTTTAAAAAAACGAAACATGTGATGGCAGATAATGTGCGGTTCAGACTACTTCTCTTTCAGAGCTTGGGATTTGCGTGGCTTGGGCTCTGGCGGATCGATGAGGTTGCCATGACGCACAACATCGATATGGCCCAGACGTATCATTTTCTCCTCCCAAATCGAAATGTTTTTTCTGCAAGGCAAATGGGCGTTAATAAAGGCTATTTTCATAGAATGGAGTTGGGTAATATACACACTTGTACTGGTCCAGTTCCTTGCGCGATTCGCGCAGATAGACTGCTTTCTCTTCGTCCGAGAGGCGAGTCCATTTGGCGGTCGCCTTTTGGTGCCATTCGCGATACGTTTGATTTGGTGTTTGTGGCGTATTCGTGCGCTCGCTGGCCACAAAGCGCAGAAAGGCGGAGGCCGGCTTTTTGGGGCGACCCAGTTCCTTGATACGTTTGCGCAGCTGTTTCCGCTCTTTGGCATCGTTGATGTCCTGTTTCATCTGCTTAATTTCGGCGCGTTGCTGGTCGGTAAGCGTGGCATCATATTTGGTGCGCTGCTCCAGGTAGATCTCCTGATCCTTTTTGTACTCTGACTGCAAGCGCTCCTTCAGCTTGGGATCGACATCCACCCAGCTCTTGGACAGTTGGCGCACAACCTCGACTGTGGTTATCTTTGGATCCTTTGCCAGCATCTTGGGCCGCATTTCGCGCATGAAGCGAAAGTATGGCGTCAGCGGCTTCTTTGGCCTGGGCGGCAGGCCAATCTGCTCCTCCAGCGACTTGGAGTGCAGTGCCGAGCTATTGCTAAGGCTGGCGGCGGCCAATGGTCTGTTTGTGTTTGGCGTAGGTGTGAAATTTTTGTTGATTTGATTTGTATGTGCAGTGTCTGAGTTTTTGGCTACAACTTGCCTGACTTTGCTAATTAGCGACCCGATGAGGGAGCCTCGCGACAGCAGCGTCGATGTGTAAATCATTTTCAATTGGTTTTGTCTTTAATAGCGTTCTTAAAAGTTAATACTTTTAGTTTGTTTTTCAGAGTTTTTGCATTAATAACTTGTTGAATTTACAATCTGAATAAGTTTACGTAAAAAATGCGGCGTTTTGGCAGAGTTGCTTTGATTTCACAGCTGTCAGGCTATCGTTGAAGCTATCGATAGTATCGTTTAAAATTAAGAGAAAACACTATCGCCATATATTAAAACATATTAAATTTGCTTAGTATAAATATAAATAAATATATAATAATCTACTTACCTATTTGTGCTATGGCTTTCTATTTAATAAATTAAAATGTATGTATTCTGATTTAACAGTATTTTTTCTTATCGATAGCTGGTGTTAAAGTATACTAACATAGGTGGCGCCAGTTGCATTCGCAGCCCGTGCCGTTCGGTGCATAGAGGGCCCTCCATGCTTTGCAACTCTGTTGTGTGCGACAGCGGTGGCAGTAGAGTTGGAGCAGTACGACAACAGAAACGCGCGTAAATTTGAAACATACCAGATTAAAATGGATTTAATTTAAGCTAATTGAAGCGTTCAACCGAAATTGTTTTCAAAGCCCGATAATGGCCCGATATGGCTATGTTGATAACGTTTAAGTTGTTAGCACTGAATTATTGTTTATAGCCCATAAATATTATCTGCTGCTTAAGCGTATTATTATATGCATATTAATGCCATGTTGAGGCGTTTGTTTAGTTTGTTTTATAAACCGGATATTAAAATCTTTTATGCTCCAGTGCGCGCTTGTTGCAATTGTGTTTGCGGTTGCTTGACAATTTGTCGCTGGCAATTGTTGCACACAGTCCGTTGTTGTGATTATTTGTTGCTCGCTTTTGGCCACTTTACTTATTGGCTTACTCCACATAGGGGTTGTCGCACCAAAGATTTCCTCGACAAATGTGTGCAACAAATCTATTTCGATGATCATTTTCTCAACCGACCTGATTTCAATTTTGTGGGAATGCACCAATATACATGAATATAACTTTAAATATGGACATATTTGTTGCTTTTTCCTGACTTCCGTCAAGTGCGCTTTGCACAGGCAGCTTGATTCGGCCAACTCCCAGCCGCATTATGTAACGCTTTTGCGAATGGCTGTTTTACTTCTTCTGGTCGACGATTTTTGGTTGGCCCTCGTTGCGCATACGCCT